CATGCATTCTCTCAATCCGTGATCATCGCATGTCTATTGCATGTCGTGAAGCCAATACGAAGAACAAGAACAAGTGAAACGCAGACAAGGACACTGCATGACACGCACAACATCTGTGTCCCACAAAAGACATTACCACATTCATGACACCGACATATGACAGAGTCGTGAGAGTTGTCACACGCATCGCAAAAAGGCAAACGACAATCAACCGCCACACGCTTCAAATCGTCCGATACAACGAGGAACACCATGCATTGATAAAACAACCACGTGCGCTGAACGCAAAAATAAAACGATTAAAAAAACAACAAAAAAAAAACCGAAAAACAAAGGTGCAAACCATTCATCCGCGTGCTGGCGCTACTGGCGGCACACTAAACACCTACGCCACCGTCGAAGATTCAGGCGAATCCCTCCGACGAACACGCTAACCACCGAAACTACAATGACACAATCGAACCGAATCAACCCGTGCTTATGCCACGGGCGCCACAGTAAACCTGTGCACAATGATGACGGAGGACTCTGGCGAATCCCGACGGTCCACACGCTAATCAGTTGCACCACGCACGACACTCCAATCACACGATAACCCGTCACGTCTCGCCACGCGTACATGCGCCTTCGTTCTTAGAAGCGTTGTCTCCCCGCTCTCCCCCCGCATACCAGCCTGCCTTATGCGTCGTCTTTTCCCTCGCCTTTGATGTCATCATCGGCGGGGCCCGAACCCAGCCAATCCGGCATCTTCGCATCCTCCGGCCCCTTGATGGTCGCGTCGTGCGCAAATCCGATGCCGCATGGTGCCCAATCAGGGATGTAGTCGGGGTACACTCCGAGCGTGACTTTCGCCTTCCCAAGCCTCTCCGTGACGACGTTCACGGCGCGGACGACGGATCGTCGATGATCGAAGGACCGATGCATGGAGGCGATTAGTGTCGGCCTGGCGACGAGATCCGCGAAGTAAAACGCTTCGTAGTGACTGCGCGGATCGTCTCCCGCCATGCGCATAATCCACATGGACGCCGCCAGCAACAGCCTGAAGCAGTTAGCCACCCGACATAGACGCTCGTAGGAGATGAAATCGTCGTCGATGTGAGTGCCCATTTGCACCGCCGCGCGGAACGAATGCGCGATGCTGATGACGGTGGACTCCTGGTACGCAGCCATGTCGTCGTCCTCAGGTCTGTCCTCGATATTCGCGCCGGCATACCACAGTGGAAGGTCAATGTTAAGATCTATCGTGTGGGCGCAGATCGGCGCGCTGACGATGTTGCGCCACTCCTCGCCGTACCACATTGCACGCGCAATGTCCGTCGCTAAGGACTCCAACGAGTACTGGAACGCAAGGCTGTACCCCCTTGGGCGGTTCCTGGACTTGAAAACCGAGCCGTGCAAGATGCGCAGAGCTATATTCTCCACCGCCGCCGCACGAGAGATCGCCTGCTGGAGCTGTGATTGGTCTGCGATCCTCGCCACCCTAGTGCTGGATTTGGGGACGACAACGCTTCGCAGAAGTTGAGGTGGTGGAAGCCCGCTGGCGATGGCGACGAAGTACTCTTTGGTTTCGTGGACGATGTTCTAAAGTCTGCGTCCTTCACCCGTCGTCCAAAAACATTTGTCATCCACCCAAAGAAGTGCACGGTCGATAAGTTCATTCGTCATTACTCCCCTGTGTGCCCGGCTTGAAGCGGCCTCGCCGCCATCGCATTGGTTCGTGTTCTGTTCACGACCCTCCTCTCTCACCGTCGCCGGGACTGCAGCCTCCTCTCTCACCGCCGGAACGGGAGGGACAACACGTGCAACAGCCACACCCGCGCCACCTGCCGCCTCCCCTCCTGCTGCACGCGCGTCTGCCACGACCCCCCCCCCCACCACCTCGTTGGCGAGACGCACCGTCACCACCGTCGTTGCGCTGACGCGGCTGAGACGGCGTGCAGGGCAGTGCACCTGTGATTGGCCTTTCGTCGTCCGCAGCGCGAGCCGTCGACACCGCCGTTGTGGTCGCTTGTGTCGCACTGCGCACGCGACGTCTCTCCAAAGGCTCGTCGTCTTCGCCGCCAAGGTCCACCACATCACCCTTCTCTTTCCACGTTTCGTGGACACGCAGCTGCTGCGCCTCCGGCGGAGGGGTTGACATCCTCTTCGAAGCGCTCTGATCTGCAGTACACTGCCTGGCACTCTCCCGTCCTGCAGACGCCGTCGCCTCGCCTTGATCCTCCTCCGTCATGAAATCATCGTCGTTGTCCTCTTCCACCGGCTGCGACGAACCTCGCGCAGCACGATGCGGCATGCTTGCTGACGCATCATCCAAACGTGGCCTCTTCGCCTTCGAGACGTGCCGACGACCTTTCCCCTGGGCTTGGGTTTCGTCAAGCGTGACGTCGCGCTTCTTGCCACGGGCGTTCAATCGCGCAGACATGCTTGTTGGGGACCCCCGCAAGCGATCTCGGTATAGCGCTCGGTTGACGTGTGTTGTTTCGTCGAAAAAGATGTCACCCGTCTCTTGCCAGCCTGGCCAGACAGGCTATCCTGACGACGTTGAAGATGTGTCCTCCGCTGCAGGATGACGATGACGCCCAAGCGCACCACGGAAGGATGATGTCCCCGGCAACACCTGTCCTTGGCGATGGCGGGAGTGCTCCGCGGCGAGAAGACTGACTGCCAGAAGAGCGGAAGCGATGACGGTGATAAGCGTTGTGGCACTGGAGATGCGCGGCGGGAAGTGTGGAGCTGGCTCAGCGAGAAGCGTTGTGGCACTGCAGATGCGCGACGGGAACCTTGTAGCGCGCCCGGCGAGAAGCGTTGTGGCACTGCAGATGCGCGGCGGGAAGTGTGCACCTGGCACGGCGAGAAGCGTTGTGGAATCACCCTCGTGCGGACTACATTTATGCGGCTCCGGACGCGCAGCACTGAAATGACACTAGGAGAAGGACCGTCCACGACGTCGCGTCCTCTTGGCGGGA